ATAGAATATTCTACCAATTGAGGAACCCTTCTTTCTTGGATGCCATTCACGGATGTCCTTCTTCCAAACAAATTTGGTAGGCATCTCGATATACGTCAGTAGACTTGCTTCTTTGAACTTCTGATTGGCTACAAACCATGCATTAAACATACTTTGCCCAACAGTTTCCCTATTGAGGACATTATCAATTGTATCATCGTCTTGGAAAACAACTGACTGGCAGTCCGGCAAGTGAAAGCTTAATCGCTCAACCGGGGAGTTCTGTACTGTACTTCAAAACTAAACAACCTCCATGTTGCCTCACATGCAGATACGTACCTGCAATCATAGTTCATGTTTATCTCATCGACAATCTCATTACCAGCTCCATCGATCGTAGCCTTATAAAACTCAGCAGTGACCGGTCGTTGCCCTTGTTTTACGTACTTGAATAAGTACTTGATTGACCTGGATTGGTTACACCATTCAACATTAATATGTGATTTGTATTTCAATAGTAAGTACCGATTATGTGGTACAACATATCTATTATCCAAATCTATTCCATTTTTTTTATTGTCCCCTTATCATCCCTCCTTCGATACAACGGGTAACCATCTTGGTCAAAATGCGATGCATCAATGTATCTTTTTGGAAAATGCTTTGAACACTTGCCATTTGCCATGCACGGGGATTTCATTCGGCAGCACCACATGGGCCGTGCAACATGAATTCTCCAACATGTTTGTAGTATTCATTCTCTGTCACCTTGTCGGGGATCTCGGCTGAAATGATCGTGTCCATAAAGGCCGGGTCAGCAAATTTGTTGTTCGCTTGAAGGAATAGTAATATGTGAGCATGCGGAAGACCACGTTTCTGGAACTCAATTGTGTATATAACTGTCAAGAGTGTATTTATATTGTCAGTTATACGGTTACTATATTAATTATTAAGGAGAACAAAAACTTCGTTTGAATTTCGTTACACACCTACCTTTACGCGACCAAATAGTTTCCCATTTTTTATTTCCTTTATTAAACAGTCTAGCTTCATTTTGAAAACACGGCAAACAATGTCCGGGCGATCTTCAGCTTTCAAGTTTCTTTTCTCCAAGAAGCGTTCTATCTCAGGCCATTTAGGATTACATGTAAATGTAATAAAAAGATTGGGATAGCCTACAAATCTACAAATTGCCATGGCGTCTTGGTAATTTTGTATCATGTACCTTGCTACTCCAGTGAAACTTGATGGTAATATGATTCTTTTACCTTGAGAACTGGGTTGAACTTCACCTCGCGTCAGCGCATCAGAGAGTCCTTTGTAGGCCTCACACCTCAAAGCTTTTTTATTTAACCGAATATAGTGTAACCTCGAAGATTCAACCATAGTATATGCATCAACCAAGAATTGCTGGAATAACCTTTTAGCATACATTATAGTTGAGATCTCATTTGATCTTTCGTGTATACGGAACGCGAAGTACTCTCTTTGTGAAACACTCTTTCTTGAAAAGTCTTTTTTAGTACCCTGTGTAGCAAAATGTATATCTTCCCTGAAACCATCCTCTCCATACGGAAATAATATTGGGTATTGCAATGGTAAATAAGCTGGGTTTAATTCACTTATTCGTTTCAGGACTCCTGATCTAGACTCGACAATAATATCACGTTGTCCCATGTAAGGGTCTATATCTCCAACAATGAGAGCGGCAACCTCGGATGTAGTTGGAAGCGCATAAGTTCTGGCATCTTTGGTCCTCTTCCCTATTAATCTCATTCTTATCTGAGTTTGAGGATTAGATTCAATAAACGACTTGGCCATTCGGAATGACTTAACCAACACATTGTGTTCATCTAGCGTTTGCTTAATGTCGTGTACTACCTCAACATGCAATGTAGAACCATTGTTTTGCGCCCTAAACAATGAAGAATATAAAATATTAGATATTCCGTATTCAGACATGATCTAACTAAAATATAATTGATTAACACAAAGCAGTCTACCTCAAAGAGTTGAATCGATTTTCTATCTCATTTTCTGTATCGTGAATGTATAACTGGGCAAATTTAGGTTGAATGCCAACTGAAGGGACTAAGCTCCCAATGCGATGAAAATTTTGACCATTAATCCGGAATATAGGCGGTGATGTTCCGTTGTTAATAGTTCTATCAATTTTGCCACCCATGGACGTGAAGCAGAACATGTTGTTGTAGGACCGTATATTCTTTAAAAAACATTTGTTTTTTTCACTGGTTGTAAAGAATAGGTCATGCAACTTCTGAGGAGGCTTTGTCATTAATGGCAACTTTATCTTCCCATTGACACAACATGCAGAGTATTTTGGATTTTCAGAGCCCTTCGAATTGCTTGACCGTTCATTGTACCAAAAAAACGAATTACAATGCTCGCAAACATAATCTGGATCACCAATATCAAAATAATAACCTACCAGACCGCAAAAAATGTATTAGTTCGTATGTAAAATAATAATGTAAGATAGTCCCTTAATACAAACAGAAAACGTTCTGGTCATAGCATATCACAAATGAACTCACCATTATTTGGGGGCGTATTGTCCTGTAACGGTTCAACAACTTCCTGAAAATCATGCATTAGATTTCGGCAATGCTCGATGGGTCAACTCTCTGGCTCTACAACGACTATTTGCATATTATTGTCATTTGTAATACAACTGTTACTTGCAAACCCTAAAAAAACAATATGTAATTAAAAGTCAATATGATTACATATTTACTTAAACATTATAACTGCATAAATTTAAAAATCTATCATTCTATCCCTCGATTTATGTTTATACCTATTTGCGAATTTGGTGTTCAGTTTAAGTCGAATGTGCAAGTTTGACGGTTACAGGTAGGTGTTTTGCCGTGGTCCTCATTGACTGTACCGCAGTTTGCTATAATATAACATATATTTTAGTCAAAGTTTGTTAGAATAATAATTAATCGATTTGACTATACACTCTTATTACAATATTTATTTGTGTTTGTTGAAGTTCATACTATTTGCTACGTTGCTAGATGGCATTCTGCTACTCAAATTTTTCGTTGATGTAGTATGTATTCTCCTTCGTATCGGAGAAGAAACTGTCAAAATGAAGGAATAACGACTATTATTAACAAATATAAGTAATAAGTATATTATTGAATTAAAAAATTATACCTAGTTGCGAATCTGGTGATCTATTTAGGTCAAACGAACGATTGCGGTTTCACAATAAGGATATACACTGTGTTCTAGGCCAAACTTACCATTTGTCACAATACTTAATGGCGTACTTAGCGAACTTTGGAAAACACCAATAAGCGGTTTACTATTGACTGCACTCCGGCTGGATTCAATTGGCTACACGTAGGCTGCATCAGTGATATTACTATTCTCATTCGCTGCAACGTAAACACATATGTCTATCACATATCATACATCATTCGTTGGAACAATTTTTGACAATAATAACAAATTATACTGTAATTATCCAATGATAGTTCGTAATTGATGTCACTATTGTATTGTATAATAATACCGATAGTTTTAATCCAATATTTCAAATTTTATATTTAACCATATTATCACATTATTTTTTTCATAATATGTCATGATAATAATATTATATAATGATATATCTTTTAACCATAGGTGTTTTTATATAGCAATGTCCCGTTTTTTAGAAATAAGGAAAATGCTATTAATCTTCGTAACCGTATTATTGTTTTTATTACTAATAACCTTTAAATATTAAATTTCAAAATAATACTAAATATTATAATTACAACCAATATTTTGTTATTATAATAATCACATTAATGATTCAGACTAATATTTGGCTAACAATTATTTATAAGAACAATAATAATCAGAATATTAATAATCACAATCATAATAATAATAGAAATAATCAGAAACTTTTAGACTAATAAAATTATTAATAACATGAATAATTCAATAATAATACTAATATTAATATTAATAATAATAATAATAATAATAATAAATATAATGGAAATGACAGTGAGAATGGTCTCAATGATGTCGCTTTCCTAATCCCTTGAACGCTCATTGTGAGCTCATTTCGCCGGCAATCCACCTGGTTTGTCTCTCTAAAAATGGAGCAGAGTAAGGGTTTAGGGTTCGATTGGTGAGTCTCGTGTACTCTGTACTATGGATTGACAATGAAGATGATGTTTGTGTGGAGCATCGACTGACAAATAGCTCTCGGCATACTCGACGTCTGAGTGTTCATAGTACGGTCACAGCCACAAATGGGAGGTTTGATCTGGACTATCAACGCACGGTTCGCTCCGGTGAACACTATAGTCTCCGTAGTTCATGGGTACATACAGATCGGACATTTTTGGTCATAAATGTGTGTGATTGGGGTCGGTGACCTTTTTTCCGATTCGGTGGTTCAGCTATTCGATTTGGAAAATAACAACAAAACTGGGTATGTATTACTAACCTAATTATTCTACGCTGTTCAGATGTATATATAAATAGGGCTATTGATAGCGTTTACTTATTAAATATGTAGAAGTAATCCGATTATACAGCACATGCATATGAATTTTGCTAACCGTTGAATTTTTAGGATGATTTTTAATTTACATCGGAGAAGCTAGAATTCGTTGGTTAATAAGTATATTTTTTTAATTATTTTTTTACAGTGTGCCGAACTATTTCTTATAATCTCTATCTATATAGGAAGACAGATAGCTATAATAAAGATAGAAGTGTACTAAGATTTACCTTGGTTGTTGCTGGGATGCTTCCTCTTCGACCCAATGGTGGTTGTAGATGTAAGTTTCCTCATGTATTCTTAGGAAGATGTATTGATTAGAATAAGGAATTGTTTAGGTGGTGTTTAAAACAGCTGTTTAAACTCTCTGTGTTGATTATATAGTTGAAAAGAACTACTCAATTAATATTTGGAGACAACATTGGAAATTGGCCATTATAATGGCTTTTGGAATACTGAAAGGTTTAGTTGTGCTACTTAATGCACAGGGAAGTCCATTAACATAGGTAGATGAATATTATTAGTAATTGCATTCATACGAAACTGGAATTGTCAATTTTTATTGGAATGTAAATAGGTTTCTTATTTAGTTAACATAAACTAATAAACTTTATGTCATTTTGCAGGTAGGCAGTAGTCGGTTCAAGCCCACAAATACTGATGGTTGTGATAGGATTTATTTGATAATGATCTTTGTTTGCGACTGTTGTATTTAGACATGCTTCGGGGAGCCTAAAGATAAGTTTGTGGTCCATCTAATGTGCTTTACAATAAAGATACACACTACTTGCTGATATTGTTTGAGTGTTGTTAAACTATCTAATGTTAATGATGAATTAATTTGTTTAATTGTAATCCTCCACTTGCAGGTAAGCTGGTACACGTACATTGTATTTATGTCCATTAATTTGTGGATGGTTCATAGATACAAAGTTGGAGTACAGAATATTGTATATACAGTTGCTTCGGACTATTAAAAGATAAGTTTTAATACCCTTGTATGGCTCAATCTGATCACGCATTCAAATGTTAGTCAATCATAATAATTTCCTTACATTGTTCGTAACCAAGAATAACTTTAAGGCAGTTATTCAGTTAATTCAAAATCCCCCAAATGCAGGTAAACTACAGATCAAAAGGTCTTCAACTAACATTACTTAAGGACGCTTGCTTTTAACCAAAATTGTTGTCAACAATTGGTAAGTCCCTAATAAGCTGTAAGATCCTAATTAATTTGCTGAAAGTCGTTTTTTAGCTTTAACGGTTGTTGATTCAACTGCAGGTAAGATGCAACATAATCTACATTGTATAAAAAGGTCATTGAGGAGATAATCAACTGTACATTGTTGTCAACAACTGGTAAGTCCCTTAGTCCTCAATTATGAGTACTGGGAAACACATTTTTACTTTAGTTTCCAACAATAGCTTTATGTCACTGATAGCTGTTACTGTACTTCATTGAAAACTAATGATTTATATATTTTAATTAATCTAGTGTTGATATTGTGTAGTGATAAGACTATTTTTTATATACACGTGTCCCTTTGTTCTTTTTTTTACTATTAATTGTCCGGTAATCTGATTAAGTGATAGAACTTTTTTTTTTTTGCTTTTATCACACATTCCTCTTCTAAATAATTGAATGCATGTTAATTTAGACAGTTTGCCAAATTGTTGAGAGATGAAATAACGTGGTTCTACATTGCTTTAATCCTCATACGAATATAGTAATAGCTTGTTGAGAGAGCAAATAGCTTGTTGAGAGACCAAATAGCTTGTTCTACATTGCTTTAACTTTGGCTGCCTTAGATGATCTACTAATTTGAATATTCAGTTTTTATTAGTTTAGTTACATTTTTTTGGATGACAACTTGCAGATATGTGAGTGTATGCAACTGTAGAAGTGAAATAATTAACAAAGTATAGACTTAGGGAAAATCAATATTTATAAGTTTTACAAATAGTCATTACAACAAAAAGTAGACTTATTTAATCATTAAAACTGAGAGCACAAAAAATTTAAAAAAATTAAACTTGTAGGTTCATAATGAGTATCCTACACTAATGTTCCTTAATATTACATAATTAGAAAGTGTTAGCTGTATTACATGCTAACATAAACCATTGGATGGTCCTCGAGAATGCTGATTTCAGCTACTTCTAGATTCGTGTGCCAGCAGTCTGGTCTTTAGGAATATGCTTGCCAACTGATTGACCTTTTCCCACCATGTCTGCAAGCCTTTGAATTCTTTTACCATGATCTCTGCAATCTTTCTATTGTTTTGCCATCAATTCCTGCAAAAAAAAAATCGGTAATAGGAATACAACAAATCTAGAGGGTTTCTCATGTTTGGTACTAAACCAACAAAACCATACATTATGCAAAAAAGTCCAGTCCAGTTGATGTTCCCAAAACACAATACTGTCAACAAAAACCATCATTCAAAACAAAATCAAAAAACCAAAAGAGCACATTGTCAGACATTTAATTCATTACAAATCTGTTTCTTTCTCAATCTTCACAACACTGTCCTTGCTTTTCTTCGAGCTTTGTGTGCTTGAAAACTCATCAATTAGCGATCTCTTCACGGTTCCATTCTCAATAATGTTATCTTCGTTCAGTCTCTGTGCAACAACCTGGAGAGGGCTTT